TTTTTTTTTTTTGGTTGCAGCCATCATTGTTTGGCAGGCCCAGGCTGGATTTGAACCCACCACCTTAGGTGTATGTGGCTGGTGTCTTAGCCACTTGAGCCACAGGCGCCAAGCATATCACCAATTTTTTTGAGGAAAGTTTTAAATGAATTCTCACAAGACATGTAAGGTTTTGTTTATATCTAATTATACGGAGTATAAGTAGGGGAATTACCTTCATTTTGGAGATGGCTCCTAAAAACAAGTACATTAATGCATAGTCCTTATTTGTCCCATAACAATAGAATATTAGAGTTGGTCACTTGCTAAGGTGATTCATGCCTGTCATCTTAGCACTTTGGGAAACCAAGGCGGTGGATCGCCTGAGCTCAGGAGTTCAAGACCAGCCTGAGCAAGAGTGAGAGACCCTGTCTCTACTAAAAACAGGAAAACAATCAAAAAACCAGCAGAGCATTGTGGCAGGTGCTTGTAGTCCAGCCAGTTAGGAAGCTGAAGCATGAGGGTGTCTTGAGTCCAAGAGTTTGAGGTTACTGTGAGCTATGATGGTGCCATAACACTCTACCAAGGGCAACCAAGTAAAACTCTGTCTCAAAAAAAAAAAAAAAAGACTTGCTAATCACAAAGGTTGCTGACATATTGCTTATAAACAGGTACTTTTTGTATTCTAATTGCAACTAATACATGTTTTACTTTAGTCAGCTAAATTCATTGCTGTAGCAGTTAATAGAAAGTATGCCAAGAAAATTCACATTAAAGTGTATGTGGTCACTGTGTGTGTGTGTTTTCTGGCATGTTCTAAAGCTATCATAATCATTTATAAACATTTATTGAGTCCACCTAGAAAGTTAAAGGCATGAAAATGACTTGAGTAATTTTATTTGATTGGAAAGAAATGTATCTCTTGAAAAAAGTGTGATTTTGCACATTTTATAGGGCTTTTGTTATTCTTGGATTCAGACTTCTCATGGCCCACAAGCAGATGAGTCATAGAAAGGGAACTCAGTATCAATTATATGCCACAGAGTTCTCAGTTATATATCAATGTACCTGCAAATTTTTCTTCCTTAAAATTGTTACCAGTGCTTTTCAAAAATGTTTATTGGTTGCTTAAAAGTGGTTTAATATACAAACTCACCAATATCTCAGTTACAAAAAAAGTTTCTAGGTCTTAGTGATATTAAAGTTATATTAAATAAAAAAAGTTAACAATTTCTAGAATACTATGTGCAGGAGGTAGCTCATAAAGCAGAATTTCAGTACAATAGCATTTTTTGGACATATTTGCTTTTCATTGTAATGTTCTCTTTATCAAAAACTAGTACATTTCAAAGCCAAAGGGTTATTATTTTAGAATAAATGACCTTTTTGGATTTGATGTTCAACCTTATATCTGTTACATTGATCGTGTAGTACCTGTCAACACAAATAAAAGATCCCATTAAATTATATTAAGAGTGGGTTTTCTAGGATAACATTATGCTGAATATCTCATCAGCTTCTTTTTTCCTCAAGGAGTGTTTGTTTTTTATTTGAAAATATTTAGTTAACAAATAAAAATTGACTATATTCAAGGAATACAAAGTGGCATTTTGATATATCTGTACAAGGTGTAATGATTAACGTAGTCAGATTAATTAGCATATCCATCACCACCTATAGTTACCATTTTGTGTATGTGTATGTGTGGGGAAGACACTTTAAATCTACTCTTTTATCAAATTTCAAGTGAACAATACAGAATTGTTAACTACTGTCATCATGCTCTACTTAGAGCCCCAGAATTTATTCCCTTTAAAACCAAAATTTTGTATGTTTGACCCATAGCTACCCATTTCCCTTTGCCCCTGGTCTCTGGAAACTACTCTTTCACTCTCTGCTCCTATGAGTTTGACATTTTTAGATTCCATTTTTAGATTCCACTATGAGATCTTATAGTATTTGCCTTTCTGTGTCTGGCTTATTTCACAAAGCATAACGTCCTTCAGGTTCATCCATATTGGCAAATGACTGAATAATATTCTATTTAATATTTAATTTAATTCTAATATATATATGAAATATTCTAATATAAGATTCTATATATATGAAATATTCTAATATATATGGAAATATGTGACCACATTTTCTTTATCTACTTTTCTGTTGATGAATACTTAAGTTGCTTCTATAACTTGGCTACTGTTCCAAAGAATGTTTAATTTGAAAGGGTTTATATGATTTATTTTAAGTACATGATACAGTCTCTGATTACACTGGAAAACATTCTAAAAGAAGTTCATGATCTTTAAGTTCATATTTCCACCAGTTAAAGTTATTAA